TGACGCACATAACTAGAGAAATTGTCCAAAAAAATCTAGATGTGTATAAGAGACAGCTCACACACACACACACACACACACACACACACACACATATCAGTACACCTAAAACACAGCTTGGTGGTGTGTCTTATGTGTTTGTGTTATGTATTCTTCAATTTAAAACTTCTGCTAAGCGTCTGTAACAACTCTTCAAATTGCTACATGTGAATCCTAAACTGTTAAAAACAACAGGACTATATTGAGCGTCTTTCATGATAATGTTCATGCTTCATGCTCACTTGCTTAACGCCGGCGGAGTGGGTGGTGTGGGCTACGCCCCCGTAAGAAACCACGGCAAAGATTATTAGTCAAAGGGCTAAAGATCAGTCGAAGTACTCACACGGACTGAAATGGACATGTAGAGCAGCACACAATCAACATGCATTCAAAACATGCTCCAAGCAACTCGAACAGTGTGGCAACAAGCAGACTTCAGACAAGAACAAAATTGTTCCGACTCAAACTTGAGGAGGAACTTCAGACAATCTCAGAACAAAATTGTTCCGACTCGAATAGATTGACACAAACCAAGAAGAGAGAGAGAGAGAGAGAGAGAGAGAGAGAGAGAGAGAGAGAGAGAGAGAGAAGTGCATTTAGACTGTATAATAGAAAAAGGAGCGCTTTGGGATGTTCATTGCCCGAGTGGTTAACGGTGCAAGGTTGCAAGGTTGGTGCCTCCGGTGGGGGTCTGGCGAATGTAAAGACCAAGCATTTTGCCAGTAGCTGCAATGACCAAGCATTTGCCAGTAGCTGCAGCTCTCTTATTCATCATTCCCCAACCCCCGTCGAGCAGCAGCAATGTCTAATGCCAACACTCTCCCACACACACCATGCACGGTGCACTTACATCATGAAGACCCTAATAATAGCGGTCGGAGGTATCAATCGGACCATCACTTCGGGTTGGCAGGCGGTCATCGGACTTGCACCCCCAACCTCCTCAATTGCACTTGCATGCCTAACCAACTGAGTAAGGCCACTTTTTATTTGTGGCTGGAGACATGCTTGATTTTGTTTTCCTCTTTTTTGGGGGGGAGGGGGGGAACTCGATTGTTTTTCACCCAAGCAGGAACACCCAATATTGATATGTCACATCAAAAGGTTTTTCCAGATTGAGACAGGTATCATCATCACCCCAACAACCACCATCTCTTTGCACCGCCAGGCTCTTTCTCCTCGCTTGCTTGAGATAGATAAAAGGGCCTGCTTGAATGGAAAAAGAAGTAAACAATTTGCCTCACTCGGCGAACAGCGTTCTTTTTTTCTCTCAGTAAAGATCTATCCTCACAAAAGAGCAAAAACAGCTTCCTTTTCTTCATTAACTCGACGCACGGAGCAAAAACAGCCTCCATTTCATCATTAACTGGAAATGCCAGACGTATGCCAAGGCACGCTGCCCCTCTTCTCTATGATCAACGATGCGAAAAACATGCTGCGCACTTGACGTGCGTAACGTATCAAAGTCATTGGTTTATCATCGAGACGATTTCGGGCAAAAGAAATTCCCATGGTGTGACGGGCGGTGTGTACAAGGCCCGAGTACATATTCACCGCGGCATGCGGATCCGCAATTACTAGCGATTCCAACTTCATGTTCTCGAGTTGCAAAGAACAATCCGAACTGAGGCAATGTTTCAGGATTCGCTCCGCCTTATCCTATTGTCATTGCCATTGTAGCACGTGTGTAGCCCAGCCCATAAGGGCCATGCGGACTTGACGTCATCCCCACCTTCCTCCAGTATATCACTGGCAGTTTTTTGTGAGTGCAGCACATCGTTGCGATGTCTTGGCAACACAAAACGAGGGTTGCGCTCGTTAAAAAAGGTTGACGGCTGCTGACGGGATGCGCACTACTCCATCCCCCGCAGATGTTCTTCTTAGCCAGCCAAGATGTGGCAGTTTCTGCATGCTCATGTGAACTGATGGTCGCAACCCAGAACTTCGGGGGGGGTGAGCAGAGAGAGAGAGAGAGAGAGAGAGAGAGAGAGAGAGAGAGAGAGAGAGAGAGAGAGATGATGTCAACTCATGGTCGCAGCACAGAACTTCGTGTGGAGAGGTGGAGAGAGACGGAAAGAGCACTTTCGACGGATCTGGTTGGATGTAATGGCATGGCAGTGCGGTTTTCATGGTAGCACCGTAGTAGACTGCTTAGTTGTGCGATCATATTATTAGACAGTTTCTGAGGCTTTTGTGAACTGGGGAAGTAAAGCAAGATGCTTTTCCTCTATGTTGGCGGAAA